ATGGATGGATGGATGGATGGATGGATGGATGGATGGATGGATGGATGAAATGAGTCCACATGAGAAGTCTTTTTGACCGAACTGAGACATGGACCTGCCGCCTTGCTGCTCTTGTCCGGTCTCTCCTGGTAGAGGTGCAGAGTAAACAGGAAGTGCGAGTTCCTTCGGGCTTCCTGGTCGTTCGGCGTTCGGCTGCTCTTCCTTCCTGCCAGAGCGGCGTCCAGGAAAAACGCAGCCCGCTCGGCGCTGGTCACCCGGAGCTCCGTCTGGTTCTGGAGCTGATGGAAAAGAAACCAGAGAGATTTTAAGGAAACTGCTTCCTTGTTGTTTCTTTAGCTAAATGAGTTCATCTTTCAGTAAAATAAAAAAGAATATTAACAAAAGTAACGCCTGTGACAACGAGCAGCTCTGATTTGGTTTAATGTGCAGATCTGCTTCTGACTGCGCCACTTTCCAATGACCTCCTGACCTCATCAGCTGTGACACAGAACCAGAAGTGTCTGCATCTCCCAAACATCAGCTCCGAACTCAAAGCAGAACTCTTCCTCCCTCCTCTGCCTCGCAGAGGTGGAACACGGAGAGATGAAAGAAAAATAAGACAGAATGGGGCTTGATAAATCAGGATGTCTGCAGGAGAAACGTTCCCGGTGACGGAAAAGGAAAATTAAAGTGAGAGGAGATAAAAAGTGGCAGGCTGGAGGAGCCCGGGGAGATAAAAGACTGAATATGAAGAAGAAGAAGATCAGGACTAATTGGACAGTTGTTGGACGTGATGAAGTCCCACGAGGTGAAGAGGAGGTCACCGAGAGAAGGAGGTGAAGGGAAGTCGCAAGACGAGGAGGCTTAAAGGGGCACTCCACAGAAAACATCTTTAGAGTGTCCAAGTTTGACTATAATTTGTTTAATAGGTAAAAAACTAAACGTAAAGTAGAAACAGGAGCATGAAAGAAATAGATCCTGAAACATTTCAGGCCTCGTCACACCAGAAACTTTCCAAAGAGACGACAAAAAGTAACAAGAAACAGCTGCAGAACCAGAAACAATAAAATATTATTACCACAGCAAACCTGCATTCCTGCAGTGAAAAACATCTGCAGTGAAAAACATCTGCAGTGAAAAACATCTGCTGTGAACAGGAAAGTTGGAGGGGAACTGGTGCAAACAAACATCTTTTAGATAAACTGACTGTTGTGTTGCGTTACATCATTACACACTTTATTATCTAAATCATCTTTTTCATACTATATATATATTTTTTGCACAAAAACTCAATTTCTCCATATTTAATGGTAGTAACTGGTCTTCCCGCTCATTAGAAAAGGCGGGATCACCATGGCAACCAGTGGCTCAGCAGAGTGCGTGGATTACACAGAGGGTTTTCCTTTGTTATATTAACCCATCATGGCCGCCTCCATGAATCCTGTAGAATACTTTTGTTCTGACTAGAAATTTTAAGTTGTGGAGAACTGAAATTTAAAACCACTTAACGGGACAAACAGAAGAAGTTATACCCTGTACTTTCAAAATAAAATATGTTGATGCTTTTAAAAATAAAAGTCTGGCTCTGTTTTAGGTTATTACAGAAGTGAGGTTCCATTTCCTGTCGGGTTTCAGCTCATGATTAATGGAGTTTCAGGAAGAATATCTCGCCGTGTGATCTAACATCGCATCATGTTCATGTCTGGTTTCTACCTGGGATCCACAAAGAGGATCTTCCCACAGCGAGACCTCCTGGTGGGCTCCTGAGGAGGAGAGCTCAGCCAGGAGGTCGATGAGCGTCTCCTCCCGGCCGGAGATCTCCACCGCCGACACCCTGACGGAGAAACGAGCCCCAGTCTTCTCCCTGCGCTCCTCGATCACCTTAAAGAGCCAGGAGATGGCTGTCGGGGCCACACCCAGACTCTGCGTGGAGCAGTCCCGACCAATCATGGTGTACGTCTTCCCTGGAGTGGGCGGAGCCAATAAGAGTGAAGCTGAATGTTTAGATGTTGTGTTTATGTGTGAAGGAGGTGAACAGTTACCCAGGTTGGAGTGTCCGAAGCAGAAGATGCAGCCGTCGGCTCCGTTCACCACCGACTGGATGACCTCGGACACTGTTCCCGAACACACCTCAGCCTATCAGGAGACAGAGCAGGTTTAAACCAGCCAATCACGTTAGAGAAAAACCACTTCAACCACAGAGACGGTATTTAGATTGCTCTGATTTGCTCTTGAGCAGTTCCTGCTCAGGGCTGCACGGTGGAGCAGCGGATCCTGTAGCATCACAGACAAAAGGTCCTCGTTTGACTCTCGGCTGAGGCCTTTCAGAGTGGACCGTGATGTTTTCTTCATGCATTCATAAAGTTTGTCTTGGTTCTCTTCCCACAGACTGAACAAACATGCAGGTGAGGTGGACTCTGTGTGTGTTCTGCTGCAGGTAACATACTGATGGCGCTCGACACTCAGCACAACCACACTTCTAAAACCAAAATGTTCTTTTAATTTGAAACGTTCAGGACTCCATGCCATTTTATTTTGTTGCAGTGCTTCCTGTTTTGTTTTCGCTCTGTCTCGTTATCACACTTGATCTCAGGAGCTCGTGAGGAGTCACGTTTAGCTCCAGTAGGTCTCATCGTTGTGTTACTTCGTGCTCCTTTAGCTGGTTGTGCGTGCGCAGAATGACAACTTGACGTGCGCTGCAGAGCTGCTGTTGTGCATCGACTCAAAGATGAATCCATCTGCTGCTTCGCATCACTCACATCCCTCCATCACTGATCTGTCTGCGCCTCCTGCTGCTGCAGAGGTGATGAAGAGTTCAAACTGTCGAACTCCGATTCATGACCAGATGTTGAGATTCAGCCGCTGCGCCGGCAGGAGAGGTTCTGGTTCTGCTGCAGACGGAACCGAGCTCTGCTGGAGCCAAACTGGGTTTCATTGTAGGACATTTGAAAAGAATCAACAATCTCACCTTTTGTTTTTCCTTTTTTTTATTTACTGTGATTATTTATTTATTTATTGCTCCAGCATAAATTAAGATTTTTTGTCGTTCATACATAAAAACATTGTGTAAACTTTTCATATTAATTTCAAAGTATTTAACTTTTATTTACAAACATTTTCCACATAAAATACCAAAAATCTGCTTCAGAAAATCAGCTTTCATTTTCTTTTCATTTTCTTTAATCTATTTTATTTTATTGTGTGTGTGTGTGTGTGTGGGGGGGGGGGGGGGGGGGCTTTTCTGAATTTAGCTTTAAGCTACAATTTTACTGTATTTAGCTCATAGCTAAAGTTTTATTTGCTTTTAGACTTTAGCCACTTTTCAACTACTTTTAGGTAGCCTTCTGCTACTTCATGTAGCTTGTATTTTTAAACTTTTATTTAGTTTTTTCTTCCTTTAGCTTTTAGCTATTATTCAGTTACTTTTATTTTTTAGCTGCTATTTTCTACTTTTAGCTTCTAACTAGCTTTTCACAACTTTTAGCTTTTAGCTACCATTCTGCTCCTTTTAGCTTGAAGCTAGTCTTTTTCAAATTTTAGCTTGTTGCCAGTGTTTGGTCATTTTAGCTGTCCTTTTGGTACATTTAGCTTTTCACTGTTATTTAGCTTTTGACTACTATTATGTTTAGATTCTAGTTAGCCTTTTGATTCTTTTAGCTGGACATTGCTGCATTTAGCATTTAGTTTTTAGCTAGCCTTTCAGTACATTTTTGGCTATTGTTTTGTTACTTTTTTTAGCTGTTCTGCTTCCTTTAGGTTCACCAGCTCAGTTTCAGCTTCTTGGACAGATTTTAGCTGTCATTCGGCGCTCGTCATCACTGTTTGAGCAGAAATGTCTCAGCTGTTTGTCTTAAAGTTTTTCTTTTCATGTCCAGGCTCAGACCATGAGCCGAGGACTGAAGGACATTGTCCCACCTGCGAGGCGTCCTGCGTGAAGACGGCGTCGAAGGTGAAGGTCTTCGGCGCAGAAGCTGAGGACCGTCTCTGAGAAGAGCCAGAGTTTCTGCCGGTCTCACAAAGCGTGAGCTGCTTTTTCCTGCCGTCCACCTTCAGGAAGGACATGGACTCTGAGGACTCGCTGCTGGGGACCGAGCAGACCCGGACCATCACACGGACCTGAGGACAGACAGGAAGTCCACAGCTGAAAAGACGGATTTAGAATATTTAGAGCTAAAGAACCAAAACAAGAGATGAAAAGTGTTTCACTGAAGGAGAAATCAATCAGAATTATAAAGTTGAAGAATCAACGACTGAACAAATCAGTAATCAGTAATCAATGATAAATAAACAGTCAGTCATAATTTACTAATTTAAACAAGATCAACTTCAGAGAAATTACACGATGTGAAGACAAAACGTTAAACAATGACCTCCTGCTGCCAGAGCTCAGATCACGGACTGGGGATGACTCTCAGCCACCACCACACCAACATTAGCTCCGGATCCTGAAAACCAACTGAGTTGTTGCTTCTTTGCATTTTAAGGTGAGGTGTTGGTGGCAGCCATCTTGAAGCAGGTTGACTCCGCCTTGCGGTGGCAGGCGGTTCTAACTCGTTGACGAGGACGACCGCCTCCGGGGTTTTATGGATCCTTCAGGACTGAAGAGTCCCTGAAGGGTGGACTCTCTTCAACAGTCTGCACTGAAGGTGTCGCTGGACATCTTGGTGGATCAGGATTGGCTGAACGTCGTCTTCGTTTCTCTTCGAGGTCGTTGTTTCTCTAATCAGTCGACTCCCGATGATCGGATGTCCTCCAGTTCAGTCGATCCACGGCACGATCGTCCCAGTCGGTCCAGTCGAGGCTGCATGGCCTGAGGTTCTGCTTCAGGTTTCTTTTGACCTCCTCTTGTTAGGAATAGAAGACCTGATTGGGAAGGCGACTGTTGGACCTTCAGACGAGGTGACCAGTCGATCAGCGTCGGTTTTGGATGAAGACTGGTCGTTTTGACGTCACTATGAACATTTGTGTTTGTAAGCGACAGTTCTCCAGTTAAACTGTTCTGAAGGTGATGATGATGGAAACGTTCAAAGCTTCATAGATGTCGTCAGTAGGTGGGCCACGTTTCTAAAGTGTAGAGAAGAGTGGAATCACTGCAGCATTTCTGTCATTCCTGACATCTTGGTTCTTGAAGACTCCTGTTCTCAAACGCCCAAAGGCTTCAGGAGCTTCGCCACTAGGCGGGGTTTGAATAATATCTGCGTCTTTTTCAGATCAACATTCCAGCCCAGGTGAATTTAGACACCGTCAAATACCTGGGTTAAGACTTTCTGCTGAGTGGGAGGACACCCGGTGGTCGTAATGGAAGTCAAGAAAAGACGTTGCTCAGGTCCCGTTTCTGGACCTCAGTCCGCTGAGGTTCAACAGGTTTCCATCAGTTCTGTATTTAAACCTGATCCAGTTTGTCTTTGATCATCATGATGAAAACAACAAGCAGGGTCAGAGAAAACACACACCTGCTTGACAAGTGACTCAGAACGGACATGAAGTGGTTTGACACTCCTGAACTTTCCTGGAGTCTGTTTGCTTCAAGAACGCAGGCTGACCTCTGACCTGCAACAGTGTGTGTGTGTGTGTGTTTGTTTGCGTGTGCATGCACGTGTGTGTGTGTGTGCATGTTTGTTTGGCCCTGCACAGGACTGCTGAGTCATCATTGACAACAATCTGAGATGCAGCAGTTTAAAAAACACAAACTCTCTGCGAGTCAACAGAGCGAATCATCGACTCATCGTGCAGCACTGCCTAAGACAGGAAGCAGCTGCCTCAGACAGGAAGCAGCTGATCTCCAGACAGGAAGCAGCTGCCTCAGACAGGAAGCAGCTGCCTCAGACAGGAAGCAGCTGATCTCCAGACAGGAAACAACTGATCTCCAGACAGGAAGCAGCTGCCTCAGACAGGAAGCAGCTGATCTCCAGACAGGAAACAACTGATCTCCAGACAGGAAGCAGCTGATCTCCAGACAGGAAGCAGCTGATCTCCAGACAGGAAACAACTGATCTCCAGACAGGAAACAACTGATCTCCA